ACAGTACCCTAGATCTCTTTGCTGGTGTAGTTCTGCACATGATGGGTCTCTTTTCCTGTAAAAAAAAATCTAACCCTGCTCTTTTTTAAATGTTCAATGCTGTAAAACTTTTAAAAAAGAGCAGGGTTAAATTTTTTTTGTTTAATGCTGTAAAACATGGAATTTAAAACTCTACATAATAAGACAGAGTCTGATTTGGGGGGGACTTTTAGAGTAGGGAAAAAGTTTCAACTGTGGCCCTACATAGAGATTTACATTGCACTCAGCCAAGTCCACAATGTGAAGCTAATTCAACCATCTGATTTTTGCCATCCTGCTAGCTACCGGTACATTAGTTGAGCTCAACGGCATTGGTGTTCGTACTTATGCGGCATTAGACGAACCTTACCACCTGTTCACAAAGACTCACACCAACTTTCTTTGCTGTTCTCATGTCTTTCCGATTGTTGAGTCTTTTCACCAAGTTAGCACTCCAGAGGTTTACTGACCAAATAGTACACCACACCTGTGTTAGGGTCTGCACCTACCCATTTTTTATTTTAAATGCTTCAAAGAACCACTTAAATTAGTCTTTTTTTTTTTTGGACTTTGTCAGGAACCTCTATTTCAACAAAATGAAAATAAAAAATTAAATTGAGTATTATAAAATGTTCTTATTAAAATTATGGCACTTGTCGTGTAAGGGTCGCTGCTGACCAGGTTAGATCAATATCTAATAATTAGAGCAAAAACTGAAATCATATGTGCACTGCCAGGCATCATACTGAAAGTTAGATCCTCTTCCAATCATGTGAGATATACAATACTGTATATTTGGTGTGTATGTGTCACATACACCAAATATACAGTAGACTCTGTTTTAAATTTGGTCTGTTTCACAACCTGCTGAAGATTCCCTACTGGAGCTTTAAAAGAGGATTTTCATATCCCTGAAAGTATGAGGGCATTAGGTGAGAACAGTCCAGCAGAATTTGTACTGGGATGTCATTTATTTTAGGTCTTTATGTTTGTTCTCATTTAAATCTGGTGATCTGTTAAGCGATTTCCTTGCCTGCTTTCCTTTCATTTTCTTGTTTCAGACCGCCCTCAGATATGTGTTTGAGGTGCACACTGCTTCATGAGTGTTTCCATTTGACTGAGCAGAGTCCCCCCTCACCAACTGACTCCTGTTTTAACCAGCATATAGATGAGCTGTACTCTTTTGACCTGCAATGGTCTGTGGGTGACCAAACTGCATGAACCCCACAGCCCACCCACACATCCTGCAGAATAACAGAACTCATGAAAGCACCTAAACTACTTAGTCTAACAGCTCACACCTCTCATTAGCCGTGGTCCAGGAAATGACCCAGTTACATGGTTACCTTTCATCATTAAATCATATCATCATGGTGTAAAATGAGATATTAGATGTTACTTCCTGTGGATTGAATTAGAAATAATAGGTTTTAATCAGTTTAGGACATCTTCCCCTCCTCTTTCTCTTCATTTTCTTCTCATGACACACTGTTGTCGGTGTAGAAAATTTGGGTGTGAAATAACATTAAATAGATTTCCCAAGACTGATATAAATACCTCAGGACGATGGAGTTAGGCTTCTGTACATTTATATCAGGCAGGTCCACAAGAGGGCTTTAAACTGGCAGAATTATCAATAGAGTTTGGATTTCCCTCTCAGATTGTCATTTCAGATCACATGTGGAGGAGACTAAAAGACTCTATATCTGATTTACAGGTAAACTTATGTGCACGCTTTATTTCATGTTAAAGTTGGGTTTCTTTAAGTCAAACAGTCTTGCTCTCTCTGGTGCTGCTGATATGAGTGAAGGCTGACAGACTGCTTCATATGCTTCCCATCAGTTAGCACTCCGCTTCTTCTTTAAACATTCTATTCTAAACTTTAGGTTGTAACTGGCCTTGACCATAGGGGTTATAACTGGGAGTCAAACTAACAACCCCTATGGTCAGGAGAACTCTGGTGTTAAAGGATCTAACATCTCCTTTACACGTATGACCCAATGAAAGCTTTGAAATTCTTGAACTTTGTGTCACACTCTGAACATTTAAAATTAATAAGCACAGGAAGCATATGCTGATTTATTAATCAAAGCTCCAGTGAAACAGAAACAGCCCTGTTTTCATATAATTTCAGATATACAGATAAAATTATACATTTGACTGTCTAAAGTCTGAGTGTGTGTGTCAGAAGACACTTTTTGACAACACAGAGGACAAGAAAATCAAAGTCGGTTTTGTCCAAAGGGAGCGTCAAAACTCACACAGGCTGAAAGTTCCTTACAGGAGCTTTAACTAAATTATTTATTCTGTCCTGGTGAAAAATTAAAAACCGTGTTGATTTATTCAGCTCATTTAACTCCAGCTGTGATTGTTCTACCACAAGTTGAGAAAAGTATTTACCTTAATGTTCATCTGACCTAAGAGGGATTGTCTGACATTAGGGGTTAAGTCATTAAATTATAATATTTGCACTACTTATTCTCTAAATTAGCATATAGAAACAGGAATTCACCCTAAAAAAACACCTTTTCTAAAAGCCAGTCTTAAAAAGAGGGGGATAAACTTTTCATCATGAGTCTATTTTTGAACAAATGTGTTAATTTAGAGAAAGAAATGTAAGGCAAAAGTATACTTTCATTTCAGGCTCATCGGGGGAGGATCTCCTTCCTCTGCAGGATGAGGGTTCTGTATATCGGATGAATTTTGACTGCAGAGTTGAACCAGCAGCTTAATGAACCTTTTTAGGTTATTTTCACTTCATTTTGTTTCCTGAACTAAAAGTCCCTAATAGTAGTAAATACTCTCTGGTTTTATGATTTCTTTCCTTTTTGTAGCAATATTTCCTTCTTCTCTCACCCTCATTTCGATCATGATAAATGCCCTTAAATTCTGTCTGTCTCTTGGTTTATTTATTATAGTACTAAAATATTTGTTGTATTTTTAATTTGCATTGAGCAAATTAAAAATAATTTGCTTTTTTTTTTGGCACTTTTTTTATAATACAACAATCTGCTCCACCTCTCTAAACCATGATCTCAGTCATTTTCTATAACAAGAAATTTCACTAACAAAGTATATGCACTAAGTATCTATACATTAAAATGGTCATATTTGAAGAACAACAATGGATGTGGTACTAAAAAATCCATCTGGTGGCAGTGAAATAACAGACTACACAAACATTTTGCAATAAACAATCACCATTTTTACCTTGAAAAAGTAATATAGGTCAATAACAGAGTGCAGCAGGTGAGCTTTACCTGATACTCTGTAGTTCAGGATGACAACCTGCATATGTCAGCTGTTCTGACTTCAGAGCGATGATACAGAGAACAAAGCACTGACATTACAAACTGGAAAAACACATTATTATTTAACTGGGAAAGAGATATTTTGAGACAGGCTGTCAGAGTCATACAGCTAGATTTATGTCAGCCATGGCTTGGGTATGGTCGCCCACTGCTGGTAATGACTGGGACAGCATGTTGTTCTCTTTCTCAGTAAAAAAGCACCATCTTGTGGGACACACATATCTGTACAGGTTTCAAACAGGCATGTTCGAAGCAGATATTTTAACAGACTCTTGTTTTTTGCTGAGCTAGGACCTCAGGCTCCTCTCCTGGCAAGTTTTGAGCATCTGACACTGAATTTCCTGGATTCAGAGACAGCCTTTTGTTTTTGACCGAGGTGATGATAACAGGGTACTGACTTTATGAGTGGCCAGGCAGGGTAAACATTAGGGCCCAAACCTAGGAGAGTTGTCTGCACTAATCAGCTCTTCTCCTCTAAAAAAAAATAAATGTAAAAAAAAAAAAAAAAATCTAAAAAGGGTTATAGTTATTTTTAACTTTATAGAGTTACAACATTTAGATCTGCTGAACTTCTTTTAAAAATGTTTGCCAGAAGTCACCATTTGAAGTATCAGCAATGGAAAATGTTCCACACTGAAATGAAAAATAATCTTCTGGCAGCCTGTAGAAACACACCCATCACTGTTTATTTCAATATCAGTGCTACCTCTGATGAGGCAAATAGCCCATTTGATAGTGGACACTCAGATTTTAAGGGTTGCTATGGTCACCCATGGCTCTGTCATATCACTGTGATTGATGCTCAGATGGACAGATGAAATCGTCAGGCTTTCTTTGATATTGAGCTTGAAACTGAGCAAACACATCAATATCTAGTGGATGGTTAAACTCATAGCAGCCCTTACAGTGATAGTCTGATGTAACAATATAATTCAGTTATATTCATAGTTTTAGTTATTTTTAAGTTATGATGTTATGTAATAAAACAATACACTGTATATTAAGTACATCACCTATATGTGCAGTACTGAAGGAGTTCAGTGATTTCTCTGTGGCCTGGATCACTGGGTGAGGGGAGGACCTGGCTCTATGATGATGCATCAGGATGTAGTTTTAATCCTGTTTTGTCCAGCAGATAGATACTTATAATACAACTGCATATTAAGTCTAAATAGTAGTGATTCAGCTACATGCTGGGCCTTTGTTTAGGAGGTTTCATTTGATCTGGATCATAATTAGTAAGTGTAATCTCCCTCCTTTTAAATTTGATTTTTTTTTCCTCCATCTTTAAGCATTTTATTTCAACATGTTCAAGATAAAGATGCCAGTAAATAAGTTGTATTCTAACAAAGTATAGCTGAGGCTGTTAAAAGTTTGTTTTGCAGTTACCTTCACATTCATTATTCAGTTTTTCAACCAGTGGTTTTTCTAGTCTGTGTGGCAACTGTGTTGGTGACTGAAAAACAGGCATCTTTTTTACAAAACAGAACTTTATTTTTCCTTTCAATCACTTAATGAAATAAAAGAAATCACAAATATCCACTCTCCTCATAAACACCCATACTGGATTATAACATAAGACAAAAATTAAAAAGCTGAAAGCAGATCCATACGACATCACAGACATCATCAAACGTAGTCCCACTGTCAGAAGTTCCAGAGCGGTCAGGCTCATGACTTCACTGCTGTATCTCTGGATTTGTAGATCACTCCTCTGCTCTTCAGCTCTCTCACCACACCTTCAGAGAAAGAGGGAAAATACATGACAAAAATGTTCTCTTAACTGGGAGGACATATGATCAAGAATGAGCCAAACAAACTTTATGAAGTAAAGATAATTTAACATATAAAGAGGCTGGTAAAGTGCAATCAAGTGTACCTGGTGGTAGTCTGCCTGTCACTGACACTGCATAAACACCTGGTTTGAAGTTTCCTGTCAGACGGAATGAAATAAAATGCAAAAGTTTCATGATTCACACAAAATTACAAAATGAATACAATGAACTGAACTGACACAGTTTAATAAAGGGCATAAAAATTGTTATAAACTGTTTTAAGGCTTTTGTTTTAAAAGCTTCACTGTTTTTTTTTCTTCATATATCAGCATAAGGATACACCCTCACTGAACTTTTGCCTGACCTTTTAGTGTCTTTAAGGTCACTGTTGATCTAAGGATGAAAAGATTCTGATTGGTTCAGATTTACTGCTCTTATTAACCAAGTGAAATAATAAACCAATAATCAGCTCGACACTTTTTTCAGACTATGAGGTGAAGACAAAAGGACTTTTGACATCCTGGAAAATTTATCAGAGGGGTTTCACCATGAAGCTAGATGTACAAGGTAACTGTGTTAACTCTGGAATTTCACGACTATGAGGGTGGTTCACTTTTTAGTAGGGAAGTTCACCATGGTAACTTAAGATGCACACCTTACTTGCTCTGTAGCAAGTTATGTCTAGGAATAAGTGGTCAAACTGTAGACAACTCTGCTTATTGACCAATCAATCTGCTTCATTGTGAAGCTCTGTGTGCCTAATGTGAAAGTAGGGGACAATCGAAAGGTTTTAATTCTGCCTTCCTGATATCACATGTCTAACATTATGGCCTTTAAAGGGATATTCTGGTGTAAAATGAAGTTAAGGTCAAACACACCATAACACCTAGTTCAGGGGTCGGCAACCTTAAACACTCAAAGAGCCACTTGGACCAGTTTCCCACAGAAAAGAAAACACACGGAGCCACAAAACCTCTTTGACATCTAAAATGAAGATAACATTGCATATATCTTTTTTTTTTTACCTTTATACAAAGTATATAAAAAACTGTAGCGAGTTGCATTTATGAAATAAATGAACTATTTCGGCGAGTGTCTGTCTTCTTCTGTAGTTAAACCGCAAGATATCAAAATCTACCCGGATACAGCAATGCTGCTTTTTGATTGGCTGTTCAGTAGATATACTTTATTTGATTGGCTTGTGCGTGGCACGCAGCTTCTGAACTCTCGGAGGAACTCAGTTGATTTCCCCCAGTTCCATAGTTGAAGAAGTGCAACTTGGTGGACATCACCGTGTTCATTTAAATGCGTGAGAAATACAATGTGTGGTGTGTGAGCGTGTGAACGAGTGGGAATGCGTGTGTCATACGCTGAATGCGTGAGACTTGAGAGCCCTGTGCTCACGCATCATCGATGTACTCCCGCGCCATGCAAAACGGTCTTTGCAAATGTTGCACTGAACGCCTTCCTTTTCAGTCTTGGTGAAGTTTTCCCACACCACTGATGTTTTAGGTCGGGATTTGGGTTAGGTTGTGTCCATGTTTTTCTCAGCCGCTGCCTCGGCCATGGCTGTTTCTTTTCTGTGCGTCCTGCTGATGTTTACACGCCGGTGTCCATGGACATATATAAAGACCCGACGAATCGATTACAGAATTTGTTGGCAACGGATTTTTTCGTCACGACGAATCTATTTAATCGATTCGTTGTTGCAGCCTTAATAGTTTATTTAATGTTACAAGAGCATTATAATCTTTGAATTTAGAATTACAAAAAAAAATAAAAAATAATAAAATAAAATAAAATGCAATTAAGTATTTATTATTTATTTTCCAAATCCACTGGGAGCCGCATCTTAGGGAAGAAAGAGCCGCATGCGGCTCCAGAGCCGCGGGTTGCCGACCCCTGACCTAGTTAGACACTCCCTCGACCGATGAATGTTGCCGACCCCTTGCTTCTCTAGTCACTCACCTACTCTCTTCCAGCAGTTTGTCGCGAGACCTTAGGCCAGTCCATTACGGACTACAGCGGGGTGACGCAGCTCAAGGAAGAACATTTATGATCATTTCTTCATGGAAATGCAATCAGACCAAGACGCAAAGGCAGAATAACTACCGCCTCTGCAGTGCAAAATGATTATGATGATGATTATTTCTTAGAGGAAACGATAATGCAATTAACGTTCTTCTTTTAGCTGACCTCGTCTGAGGTCTCGCTACAAACAAGTGGCTGCTGGAAGAGAGTAGGTGAGTTGTGTTTAGTCTCTTTGCTAAAGAAACCAGGCAAAGTTCAAAAGATGTTTGGTTGCTAGTACTATGGCTGGGACCCTCTATGTACTGTTGATGAAGTTAGGTGCTGTTCTGAGCATTATTTGTGGCTATAGAGTGGCGTTTTGATTGAGGTTTGTTTATGGCTCCTCAGACTGCTGTGTATCGCTATCATGCGGTCGTTACTAAAGTTGGTATAACTGGAGAAGCAAGCGGTCGGCAACATTCATCTCTCGAAGGGGGTGTCTAACTCGGTGTTACGGTGTGTTTGACCCTGAATTAACTTTACGCCGGAATATCCCTTTAAGTTGTTATGGGATTTTAAATGATTTGTGTTTTTTTGCTGTGAATCATGTTTTCATTTTCATTTTCTGTTTACATCATGATCAAATGTGATTGAAAAAAAACAGTGAATATTGAGTTTGTCCAAAATACATCATCTTTACCTATCCTCTGCCATTTAGCGACCCAGCTGTCCTCAGGACTCATCATGGCCACCACACTGCAGGCAAAAAGACAATGTGGATAAGCCTACACACTCACACACCGATAATATGAAGTTAAATTTCAAAGGCTGTAAATGATACAAGTTCACTCATCACTCACCCATCAAATGAAGAGCTTGTGCACTCATAAACCATCTCTCTGTTTCCCTTCATCTGGAGGTAGGACTCACAATTGTCACAGCCGTCGTATTCAAACTGGTCAATAGTCTAAAAACAAAGACACAGACAATAAATGTTAGAAAGAGATCACATCCTCTAGGACCAAGAAAAATAAGGTTTCATAAGGTCCGGGGATTCATATTATTTCAAGATAAGTCTGATCTATATGCTGACAGAAATGTGGTAGATTTTGTAAAGTGCTGTAACCGCTGATCTTAATACTTTTCACACTGAACCAATGTTGTGAATTATAACAGAAAGGTTTTAGGTACTGTGCTGGTGTTATGTGCCGAACAAACACCCTTTTCAGAGACTAAATTATATCATATATCACTCTAAAGCTTCGTAGAAAAGCGTCAGTCAGAATTAGGTTGAAGTCAGTCAACAAACTTATTTTGAAATCACCAATCTCTCAGTTTGAGTTCATGTTTGGCACACCATAACAAAAAAACACAGCGTCGCCAAAAGAGGCTTCTCGTTAGCAGAAGCTAGCTTAAGCTTTTCCCCTTTCATTCGCGGGTTACCTTTACTAGAGAACAAAGAAGACAAGCTCGCAGATGACGAAGGTCTTTGGGGACTGTTTCCAAAGCCATGGTGATAACCTCTGAGAGAAAAAGTGTCGATAAAATAAAAATATCAACAGATTACTAATGTCGGGATCTCCAAGGCGCTGAGGAAGTACGTCACGGCCTGTATGTAAGGACCCAATTCAACTCCGCTACAGAGGCGTCCCTTTTGTTCGCCTGTACGAAAATCTTTTATCGACATCATAAACATTTCAAATTTAAATGATTTTTTAATGCTTTTTATTGTATTTATTTCACTATGATCTAGTTAATGTAGGGATAAATAAGTATTATTTTTATTATTATTATCATTATTATTATTATTATTATTATTATTATTATTATTATTATTATTATTATTATTATTATTATTGTTCACTTCATGAATTCCATCATTCAGGGTTTTCGTATTTTAAGAATATTGATTGGAGGCTTAGAGTTCAGTTCAAATTAAATTCAAACAAAACACGAAAAATACGAAAATCATATCCCCCCTTACACACATGCGCGCACGCGCGCACACACACACACACACACACACACACTTCTGTCATTCTTTTGAGGCAATTGTCTTTGATGTCACTTATATTTACAAACATATTTAATGTCCAAATGTTTGTGGATGGTTGATAAATATGGTAGGAAATACGTAACTCTTTTCCAAATTGAACAAACAACACAGTTATCCCAAGGGCCCAAGTTAGGGGTGTGCACTGTGCACATAATATAATCATCTTTAATGTACATTCAAATTATTTTACTCCCACGTTTCTTGTAGAAACAACATACAATTGTGTGCACAAAATGTATCTTGTGCACACAATGAAATCAGCTTGTGCACACTGTTGTTTAGTTTTGTGTGTACAAAAAAATCTTAGAAAAGGTTGGGTGTGTTTGTTATCATGACTTTATTGCAGTCCTGTCTAAAACACACTTTGATGTTTTTAGCAATTGTGTAGAGTTGCTAAGACAAGTTTGCCTTTTTAATGGTGATGGTTGCAGGAAGGCTGGGATTTTTTCTTCACAATGTGCAAACAGTGCACGGCACATCTCCTTATCACAAAACCCACGTGCACACACATATGAGGGGAGCACACAACCACAAACTCACTCCTGTTGCTTCCTTTTTTTAATCCTTGTAACTTAAAATTGATTAAACAAATTGTCCACTATGTTTTATTTGTCTTTTATCTGATAATTGAATCTCTATAGTGTTTGTTTAAAAAAAGAAAAGAAAGAAAAGGGTGTAGGACTTTATTGTCAGGAAAAAACATTTCAAACAAAGCTGAAACACAAATTTAAGACTAGATAAGATGAGAAGAACTTTTTTTATCCCAGAGGGATAGTTTAATTTGCCTAATTGATTTTGTGCACACATTGTAAATTTTGATCTTGAATATTGATCAATCAGCTTGAACATGCAAATAACATTTCTCAAAATAAACCCTCTGTTGAAGTGAAGTAAGAAAAAAGTTGATCTGCTTTTGAACATTAGTCAAATGTTGGGGTGATAGTAGCTCAGGAGGTAGAGCGGTCATCCAATAACTGGAAGCTTGGCGGTTCGATTCCCCTTATCCCTAGTCTGTCTGTTGTGTCCTTGGGCAAGACACTTAACCCACCTTGCTCCCAGTGTGTGTCCTCCACTAGTGGATGATCGTGAGTGTTGTGTGGTGGTGGTCGGCGAGGCTATAGTTGCAAACTAACTGATTCCGTCTCTCTGCCCCAGGGCAGCTGTGACTACTAAGGTATTTCACCACCACCAGGGTGTGACTGTGTGAGCGAATGAATGATGTAGCCAATGTGAAGCACTTTGAGGGTCTCTGATAAAGCGCTATATGAAATCTGATGCATTATTATTATTATTCATTACTCTTAGTAACACATGAATTTTGGCTATCGGACTGAAGAAATGCAGTAACTCTTGCTTTAAAATGTGGTTAAAATATGATATATAGCTACCTAAGATGGGCCAGCCCATTTAGAAAGCGAAATATATCTTTTTTTATATGATGAACTACACAAAGACAATGCTAAAAGAAAATGCTAAAAGTCTAGCACTATTTTAAGCTCACTTGCACTGTTGTTTTATATGAATGTTGACACAATGAAAAAGTTGCAAAGCTCCCTAGGAAAGATGAAGAGTCTTCAATTGTATAAATGCATCAAGCTGAAAAACACATAATTGTTGCTGTTGTGTGGAATTAAGGTCCTGTGACGAAGTTTCAGTTTGAGTCAGTTTGGTGCCCCCTGTAGACACTGCAGTCCTTGTCCTTTTTGTTCTCAAGAAGTGTTTTCTGACAAAATAATAATAATAATAATAATAATAATAATAATAATAATAATAATAATAATAATAATAATAATAATAATAATAAAGCTCATCCTGCTGACTTGTGATAACCAAATATTTGATATATAGGCTATTATTAATATTTTATGCAATTTTTTTAAAAACAGGGCCCTTTCCCTACATACCCTACACTGCTTTAAGGTATGAAAAAATATGATCTAAGAATCATCATTTTGTCGCTGATGGTGTTGTTTGTTTTAGGATATCATAAAAAAGCATTAATTTCAAAATCAGTCTATTTTATAAAAGTAAGAAAAGTCCACACAGGAGCTTTAAATTTTCTAAACTCCTGTTTTATTATGGCTTATTTTATTTACAACCATGATATTTAACTGTTTTTGTAAATAGTCTGTGCACATAATTTTAGTTAAAAGGAGCTCACTCTTACTAAATCATGAGACTCAGATGGAGCTGAAAGAATCATATTGCTAGAAAAAGTCGAATGAATAGTCTCCCTGAAAAGAGCCAGTTTCACAATGCAATACAAGAACTTTATTCATCTCCAAACAGAAATTCATTTTAATAATTCATTCTATCGTTTCCATTCAACTTTCCCGTGGAAACTAAGAAGAGGAGACTCCGTTATTGCCGGCAGAAGAAACGTTGGACACAACAGCTTCAACGGTCCAAACGGCCACCCGTCCTGAGAGAAGAAGAGCAGCAGCGGCCCAGCGCTAGCGAATCAGGTAAAGTATCACGGTATTTCTCTTAAATTTGGCTTTGCCTCAAAACCAAGAAATCCTGAAAAAGTTATGCAGACATCAGTGATGTTTTTGTGCATGAATATTTTCGATTATCTGAAATTGAGTTCATCTTAAAGCTAATACTGACTAAACGTTAACCAATCACTAGCTAACGTTCATGCAAATTTGAAAGTTCCCTCCATACTTCCTATGTAACCACCTCCTCTTTACTTCATGGGTTTAATGCTATATGATTTTCCTTTAGGGATCCGATTTATCGGGTATCTATTTTAAAGCTAACTTATTTGCCGTTTTATACAGTAGGGTTTAGTGGTGACTTCGTTACCGTTATACTGTGTAGAATATGTTGGGGAGAGTGGGGTAAATTGAGCCAAAGGGTAAGTTGAGCCACCCCCTGATGCCTGGAAATAGTAAAAGAAATTGATCATGTGTGCAAATATTTAGGAGAAGGGCATCAATTCATGGAGTCTGTGAAGGTTAAAAGCACGTGGGTGAAGGGGTAAGACATTTATCTCCAGAAAAAAAGTCTGTCATAAGTTTTATTAGAATTGTGTTCAGACCAAAAAATATCATTTTAAAATAAAAGGATAAAAGTCCACCATTTTAGCTTAGAGGACTAATAAAGTCATAATAGTAGTTCAGGGGTAAGTTGAGCCAGTGGCTCAACTGAAAAAGTAAAGGAGTGTGATGAGAGGATCAGAGTTTCAGTTCAGATTCTTGAAATGTGTTACTTTTTCTTTTTAAAAATACAGCTGTGAATGTTCTGAATCACTTAAAAACATTCTCATGTTAAAAATGTCTTTTTTTTTGACAAAACAGCTTCTAGCAGTTATATGCAATAATAATAAAAAGAATTATTGTACCAGTTTAATAGCGTATAATAGATAAAAATACAGATGAATGTGAAGAAGTGACTGTAATTTAGGGAGAGAGAAGGTGAGGGAGGGCTGGGGTGGAGAGTGGGGGGACAGTAGGGATACGGCTCAACTTACCTCGCTCCTATGGTCAACTTACCCCATACATGGGGTGAGCTGACCATAGGAGACCACTTTTTTTGCATGCTATATTACCAAGACAGTTATGTTTACAATCATTCTATTGGTTTGCAGGGATGCACAACATCTTGAAATATATGCAGATACACTAGTTAGAGACAAAACTATGATTGTCTTGATGTAGTGATCCAAAATATAAAAAATGGCTCATCTTACCCCACTCTACCCTAAGACCCAAGAACAAGATCCCATCTGTTATTTACCAGAAATGTTTGAGTCATTCTTCCTCGGCCCATGGGATATTAAGTTATTAAATTTAACTCCACAGTTAAGTGCTTACTCAGTCCGAACAGTCAATAAGATTAAGTAAATTAAACGAGCAAGCTTGTCCTGCAAGAAAAATCCAACAGATTAAAAAAAAAAGAAAAAAAAACATTTTTGTTTCTTCAAGCAAAACAAACAAACAAACAAACAAACAAACAAACAAACAAACAAACAAACAGATCCACCCAGTCACCTAAGTAACTAGTAGAGTTTCTCTGTGGGTATATTCAGAAAGTTTTGGCATTTATATATGTTTGGTATGACTTCCCAAACAGCTTTAGAGTTAAAATACTCTGTGACTATTAGCATAAGCTCACAAACTCTTCAGTTTTTATATTTAGTTGGGGTAAAGTCTTGTATAAGGTGCTTTAACATGATCTGCTTTTATGTCCAATCCTAGAAACAAAAGCATGGATGTGGATGAATGTGCATTACCTGACACTATCAACCCAAATAACTTCCCTGCCAAACTGTGGCGTTTGGTGAACAACCCAGCATATAGGGCCATCAAGTGGGACAGCATTGGCGAAGCAATCCTCATTGATAAACACCTCTTTGAGCAAGAGATCCTCTCTCCACTTGTCTCCAATTTCGACAATGCTGATGCCTTCAAAACCACCAACTTTTCAAGCTTTGTTCGTCAGCTCAATCTGTACGGCTTCAGGAAAGTTGAGTCATCTAATTCAGAAACCAAACTTTATTCTGAGTGCAGTGGGGAGTACTTTCATTATCTCAACCCAATCTTCAAGAAAAAACACCCAGAACTTCTTGCAAGTATGAGAAGACTCACAGCCGACAACAAGGCTAAGTTTAAGGCTGGTGAAGACATCAGTTGTCGACCCCCGAGTAAACATAGGCGGATCAGTAGGGTGGATGATGGAAGAAGTGAAAATATGAAAAGAGGTTAGTTTAATGACAAATCATCTTTTATTCCTTTCCACATATAGACTGTAAAAATAGTAGCTGCCGCAGTGTCCCCAGGGTGGAATATTGAATGACTGTAAAATCAAACAACTTTCTACAATTTTCTTATGACTTACCTTTTCTCACAAACCTGACTTTGTTTATTCTTAATGTTTCATGAGTTGATCACTCAAACCTATAGCTCTAGCACATCTAATATCACTTTAATAAACCCCTGTCTGACAGGTTGTTATGAAGCTTTGCTTTTTTCTGTCTGTGCAGAAGGAGTTCCACTGCTCAGCCCTACCCATCAGGAGTTGCCTCATCCCTACTACCCGAAAAAAGCTCCGCCTGGGACAGTTCACAATAGAACCCCAGTCCCGCCAAGATACCTGATAAGGGGTTGTGGTGCTGCTCTTTCTCCTTCTGTCTTTGCCTCAGACAAAGGGAAACAGATGTCTTTTAACCACCAACATGCTGGGGCTGTCTCCGGACCCAGCGCTATGCAAGTTCAGCTGGGTTTACGAGCTGATGTGAACCATGGAAATGTACATTATCCACCCAAGTACTTTGCCCCAGGTTAGCACCTCAGCAGCTATTCTGTTGGACAAGCTATAGACCACAGTTGTTGCATCACTGTAGGGAAATTTAACATGAGTAGAAAACACAGGAGCTAAAGTGTAACAGCATATTACTGACGAGCGATTAATGCATTTTTTCCCCTGGTCTCTAAAGTTTGCTCGTGCCATCCAATGAGCCAGGCACCACAGAGGGTCTGTAGTGGTTTCCAGACAGGACTGTTGCCCGCCAACAGATACTACCAGGTAGCAGATAGATTATTCCAGAATAATGAGTTTATTTTTTGTGTTAACACTTTAATGAATACCCGTCTGAAGGTTTTCTAACCTTCCTTTTTCCATGGTTCTCAGACCAAGTGGTATGGGGAACACAGCCATGACCAGCAGAATGAGGACAACCAGGAGATGAAAAGGTGTAGCGTTAATTTGGACAGGGTTTTCCAGATTGCAGATGAGGTGATGCAACCTCCGCCCAGTAGGTGCGTGGTTGAAGTCAAGACTCCAGAGAGGCCATTGTCTGAGTCCCCAGTGACCCCCCACACCCGTAGCACCTTGCAAGGATGCCCTCTTTCTGTTGGATCCATCATAACAGTTGTGAGAGGCAATGCTGATGACCTCGAAGATGCACCAACTGACTTATCTGTAGTTTTAGTGCCCGAGCAGCTGCCTGAAGATGCCATATGCGTGGTAAGTCTCTTTATTGTAATTGTTCTCAAGCATGAAGGAAAACTTTTGTAAGATTTAAAGATGGTGGTTTACTGTGGGCAGTCCAGAAGTTTGAAAAAGGAAACAGTTCCCATGATGTGTATCTTTGTATTTGTTAGGGTATATACAGTATAGTTGTTATCAGTGTTTAACAGCTAAGTAGAGGACCTGCAAGTTTTTTGTTTTGCTTTCTTCTGTACCCTGAATAGGTTATTTGTGATGATACCGAGACCAGCAAGAGGATAGCTGTTGAGGGAAGCAACATTCTCAAGGACAACAATCCAATCAAAAGCAGCAGCTGTACAGAGACTACATCAGGTCTGTAGGTAAGATACTACATGGAACATTACGGAAGCATAATCAAAGCAAACCAAGTCAAAGAAAAGACTTTTCAGATTATAACTGACACCAGTTATTGACAGTTATTTATATCTCTTGTTTTAGATTCCAGCTTGTTTATTGGAATGGCTAGTGACAGTGAGGAATCCCCACTGTGAAGGATGTGACCTGAAGTCCTCACCACATCTCACACTCACAGGAGTGATTATTATATTTTGAGTAGTTCAGGTGTTTTAATGGTAATGTTATTCAGAAAAAGAAATAGAACAGGTTAGTTCTTTATGTTTTTGTGCACTTGACGTGTTGTTTGTGACTGTGGAAAGTACTTGTATTTTAATATCTCTCAAGGTTAACCCTCTGATAGAATAAGAGGTACCTCTTCTTGTACATCTAAATACTACGTTTTCAAAATATCTAAAATATTTTATGACTAAATGAGAAAATGGGTTGTGGAAAAGGTGTAGTTGTGATTATATTGTGATAGTGACCAGTTGGCAGTTGCATTTTCCATCTTTGTATTCAATGTTTCAAAGCTGCCTCAGAACTTGTAATTGGATGTTCTCAGAGGCCTGTATGGACATTTCTTTAATTATTAAAAAGTGCATTATTTTAAGTTCAGAGGGTATTTTACTTATGCGCACCTCATGTTTTTGTTGACACCTCTTTGGTTTTACAAGGTTTAGTCCGCGAGAGGGAGCCACTCGCTTGATTTTGGTGAGTAGTGCTGCTCCGCCCTCAGAGTCTAATGTTGCCTTCAGGTGCTGCTTATAAACTCCCTCTATTTACTTTCTTAAACTATGTTATGTAAATTTAAAAAAGAAAATTTAAGTGTTATACGTTTAAGCTAATCCTGAAATAAAACTTTTGTTTGACATCTATATCTTGATGCAAAGTGTAATTTGTAATCCAATTGCCTGAAACGATCGATTATCGATTAGTCGTAAGAACCCAATTTAACTGACTTGAGCAGCGTCTGAACATAGAGCATCCGTGATTAAACAGTTTGACAGATTTGTTGTGATAATGAATGTCCCTCTGATAATATATTGGTGATGGTGTGCATCGTTTGTGTGAATTTCCCATCTCCGACAGAGCGTGAAGGCATCAGGGCAGTGAGCAGGTAGAGACTGTCAATGAGATCCCAGGGGAGCGAGAGACAGTCCGGGAGGTAGACTTTTTGGGACGGTGTCACAACTGCTCACGGCGTCTCTGAACTTGATCAACTCACACATGGAGACCAGGAGAACTTTGGAACACTTTATCCCGTACTTTTTTGTGGAGTTGCTAGACTTTTGAGCGTTAATAATTTTGATAAAGGATTTATTTTCCCTCGGTGTCCTCAGAAGGATCGTGCCTGATTTCTCTCAGTGCAGCGGAGGCACTAAACAGTTTGAGAGAGTGCGTACGTATGTATGTGTGTGTGGGAGTGTGTGTATGCGTGTGTGATTTTGACAGTGGCGTTAAATAAAGACAGTGTAAAAATTATGCTGTTACAAAGTTGAACTCAGTCGTTCTCTTAGTTCATAATTTGATCAAACTGAATTGAACAAATTCTTCAAGGTAATTTTTCGCAACTCCGTAGTTGTAAAACTATTACCCAACTCCTTGGCACCGCATTATCTGCCAGCATGCCTTATAACTTTCCTGCGGCAACCTGTAACCCAGCCTTTGAAGTCCAAGTCGTCGCTTTTGTGGGTTTTTTGGTGGATTTATCCAGAAAATGTGGCGCCCACGGGATGTACTTTGAATGTGTTTATCAACTCGTGCCTGGTCGCACAATGTGATTTGTAAATACACAGCGACTGGTCTACACTGTAATATCGAGTTCGGATTTACGGATGGAGATTGATACTGTGTTTCCAGGACCTGCCTTTCAGTGAGAGGATGCGAAAGATCTACTCGAAACACGCTGCCGCAGATGTGTACATTTGTTGTGTTACCTTATGAAGACCGGGCTGCTGGAAATCAATGCACACTTCAGGCTCTGACACAACACAACGTGTCTTCACGGTGCATTTGAGCGTACAATGTTTTGCCTCCCACAATGACACTGGATAAAAGTTCATCCATGCTTATTTTATCCCGGAAGATACAGTTGAGTGTACCGAAGCGCCTGTCTTCATGTTGGCACTGAGTGTATGCATTTCTATAACGTGTCCACTTTGAATATTAACACTGCTGCTGCTGAATGGAAGTTTTGGGACATTCACGCATGAGTTATGATGGCAGATCTCCAGCTTTAAAGCTTTGGATTTTATCTGTTTTGCAGTAGTCGTCGAGGCTGAAGGAAGAAGTGGGACGCTCAAAGTTCATATTTCCCCGTTTTTGTCTCCTTGCGGTGCTTGCCTACTTTGAAGTCCACCATGTGCGGCCGGGCACCGCCGCTGCAGCCGAGGCCATGACCGTCCCCCAGCGGCGCCTGGCCGGGCTCTGGCCGTGGCTGCTCATGGCGGCCCTGCAGGTGGTGCTGGGCCAGCCGGGCCTGGAGTCCGAGCGGCCGACCCTGCGAGCGGTCATCAAAGTGGCACTGCTGAATCAAGAGCCCACAGGGAAGCCCATCACTCTGGAGGGGGTGTTCGTGGGAGGAAGCGCCGGCTATGCGGAGGGAAAACTAATGCAGGTATGAAGGGTGTCATATATGAGTATGTGCCGTGTACAACACTTTTAGTTCACTTCCAACCATGTCCTGGAAAGAGGGGTTCTGTCGGGTGTTCTCGGGTGTCGGTGGGCACCTGGGTCGTGCAGTTGTGGCCCAAGATTCTTTGTGGCTCCCCTGTGACTTTGGAGATCAACGTAAAGGCTAAAAAGTCACGATGAATAACTGAGAATATTTGGTCTTCCCACATGTAGTGTATATACTGGATAGTCTTACCCCTTGACCCAATTTGTGCCTTGTAATTAATCTACATTGGCCTCTTGCTCTGGTCTTGTCCCCCCATGAGTGGACCCTCCCGTGTTACTGGAAAGAATACTGCCACCTGTGCTGGTGTGGTGATAAGTTAGAGACTCAGAACTTACATTAAAGCAATTAAACAGAAGTGTTATTCTGTTTTAATGTATTAAAAATGTAGTCTAAAGTGAAAAACTTGGAGTCTTTTAAGATAAATCCACTATGGTAATCTCTACCAATGTTTACAGCCACACTGAAACATACAGTAGGCCTATGAATGCATGGCTTGAGTAGTTTTCTCTCTTTGACTTTTACATTCTTTGTCTTATGTCTACAAATAAAGAGGGGTTTTGAGACTGAATGGACCAACACGGAATAATCATTACCTCAAAGCTATTTCAAATCAGGTGCAGCTAGATAGGGTTAATTTATGCATCCAACAGAAACTTGTGTTTGGATGTAAACGCACACAGAAGTCCATTCAAATTCTAGGGTGTAATGCTGTAACATGCCATAAAACCAAGGAGTTAAAACTCCCATCAAGCACTGTGCAGGCTTAAATACAAAGATCTCTATGTGAAGCATACATTTGTAACTGAATTTCCCACAGTACACCATCCTGCCCTTTGGAGCATCTGTCTTTTACTGCAGTGACTCTTGGCCCTGTATGTTTCTCTAACCTAAAATCCAGTCAACACAGCATCCTCTGTCTGATAAACCTAATGATGTTAACACCTGTACTTGCTGCTGTATGCCATCAAAATACTGTTGTGACCATGGGAAACAGCATACTTACAGTTTCCAAGAGCCGCTCACAACACCCAGCATGTGGTGACAGAAAATCTAAATACCTTCAACAATGGCGCTGACTAACAGGTGTTATTGAACTTAGTTTGTTTTCAGTCTATTTTTACTTATCCCTGAAAAACATGGGTTTGGCTGGGGTTGCCAACCTTTTTAGGTGTATCCTTTTAAAGGTGTCAGCTTTGTTTTGCCGTAACTATTTATGGCATGAAATGTTCTTCCAACATTTTTAATATTAAGGTGTGGTTGAAGACAGTTATACAACACAGCAAATCATGTTTAGACCCATTCTAACCCTTAATTGAAGCAAAAATGTGTTTTTGCACAATATAGAAAGAAGCATGCCGCCACCCTGCACATGTAAAGTATGCGCTCTATTCAGTGTGCATATTTAGGATTCAGGAGTGGATTAGGGTTCCCGGGCCGTAAAGCTGCGGCTCTGTCAATTTATTTACCGTCTCCAAAGAAACGGGACGACAGATATGAGGCACTGTAGGATCTTGTCTCTTCTCACTCAGCGGGCGTGGGAGGTTTTGTGAATGGCGAGCCAGATGCTGTAGTTTGCCATAATTGATAAGGATTTACGTGGCTTCTCGGTGGAGAAAGCCCAGTCTTAAGAACCCTGAAAAGCCATCGCTGTTTTCCCTCCTCTGTTAAACTCTTATTTGGCTTTAATGTGTATGTGCGTGTGGGGGTGGGGTGGAGGGGTGTTGACAACATGTTATGGATGTGTATCACAAGTGAAGCTGGGATCAAAGGCATATCAAGCTTTTTGGGATTCCCAGGTTTTTGTACTTTTTTCCCATAAAACCTTCCAGGCTAGTTTCTAATGTTCCACTGGCAATAGTACAAAGCCGCAAAATGCTTTAGCTACACGTTGTGCACTGTAGAGTGCTCATGAATGGTAGTAGGAGTAATATCTACCTGGATTTCTCTGCAGATATGGCTGAAGGTGAACATATTCAAAGCAATACTTTTATCATTGCTTTTGAAAGCTTATTTTTGTTTTTACTGGCTAAACGGTCTGTACTGATGGTTTTGTCTGCTCCTCTGTATTCTTGTTCCCCTTAAACAAACCTGTGATTGTGGTTCTGTCCAAGGCTTGGAAGGTATACTTTTGTGAGACTCTCTCTTCCCAGGCTGTTTCCCACAGTGCACAGAGGTGGTGTTATGCTGCAGGATGCTCTTTGTTGAGGCTTAGGCCTGTTCCAACAGGTTCCTACTGCTTCTGCAGGCTGCTTTATGGTCCCGCTTTATGTTCATGGCTTCTACTGGATAAGGGGGGATGAGGGCTGGAAAGGACGTTGAGCTCCATTGATTGAGGTTATGCCTTTGACTTTTTTTCTATCAACACATATTAAGTTTGATAATTCTTTCTGCACGACTGCAAGAATTTATATCAAATTTGCAACATTTAAAGTTCAAACTGCTGTTATCAGATATGACGTTGATTACTTTTAGTTATGCCTGTTCGCCAACAACATCAGTCAACAGCAAGAGTCAATAGCCACGTTTACATGCAGACTTTTTTCTCATTCGGATTATAATCATTCCGATTGAAGCTCCCAGGCGAACTGTTTACATGGAAGCGATCTATTCTGATCTGGTGTTTACATGTGCCACG